CAGGCCAAAATGGCCGACTGGTTCGGCGGGTTATTGGTGCCCTCGTGGCTGCCGTCTGCACCAATGCCTGTAGCCTGGGAACCCACTACCCCCAGAGAGCCTTCGAGGAAGACGGCCAGCAAGGTGGGCGACTACAAACGTTGGGTGTCCTCGGGCCGAGCCCGAGCCCGCAAGTCGAAAAGCCGCCCCGGCCGTGATCATCCAGGACTGCGACCACCCCCACCAGGAGCACCTCCGAGGAGCTGGGAATGGGCACAGTCGGGACGTTTACTGCTCAAGGTGCAGCGCCCGGTGGGACGCCAACGGCATGGAGGAGTACATTGCAGAGATGCGGAAGCAGGAGGATGCGGCAATGAGTGGGCCCGCGCCATCTGGCACGCCAAATTGCTTGTGCGGCAGCCCGGCGGTGCGCCTCATGGTCAAGAAATCGGGGCCTACTCAGGGCCGGCACTTCTGGAAATGCGCGGCTCGGGTGTGCCAGTACGTCGATTGGGACCAAGCCGAGGTTGCAAAGCTTCAGGGCGAGAAGAGGAAGGAGATGGCCGACCACAAGGAGCAGATCGAGACGTTGCAGGCCCAGATCGAGAGCAACCAGGAGAGAGCGCAGTTCGAGATTGCCCTCGGCCAGCTTCAGCAGCATATGATCGGGAACCAGGCGGGCCCAAGCCCGATGTGACGGGCCCCGCGGGACCCGAGACGGGTCCGAATTCACCATACACGGTGGACCTTGAAGGCCCGCGGCTGCGAAGGAAGTGGCGGGCAATGCAGCTCGAAGAAAGAGTGAGTCAGGGGCGAGCCCGCATGGTTTCAGAGGGCTATTGGTGGATGCCGCCGCAGAGTGACGCGACATCCGAGAACCAGTGGCATTTTGCTGCTGGCCTGGGACCGAGCCAAGATGATGGGGGCAAGGTGCGGGGAATTTTTCATGAAGACCTCTATGGAAGCGATGGAATCACCCAGCTGGAGCCAAAGACACTTTCCAAGCAAAAATCAAAGAAGATTATGACGGTGCTGGCGGCACCACATGTGCCCGGGGGGCGCTCAGCAGAGAGTGTCGTGAGCTTGGAGCCGGCATGGTGTTGGCATGAATTTCGGCGCGATTTTGCGCCATGTGCAGTTTTTGTGGTGCAGTTGCTCGACCCGGGCGAAACTTTTCGGTGGCAGTCTGTGGTCTTGGGCGAGAAAAGGGCGATGATTCTGTATGTCGGGCGGGAGTTTCGGAAGCATGGGTGCGATTGGTATCGGTGGCAATCGGAGAGAGAGGGGTTGGCAGCGTTGTTGGTGCAGGAGGTCCGGGAGAATGACATCGCGACCGGCAGCAGCTTCTACGCGAAAGGCACAAACAACGTTGTCGAGCAAGTGTGGTCTAGTTTGTCATGTAATCCTTCGTTCGAGCTGTACGACTCTGTGATCAGGTGGGACTTCGAGGCAGCGAGGTCACAGGCAGTGGTGTGTTTCACGAGGGCATTGCAGATGATCTTGATCCGGAGGTCGCACAAGAGGGGCCCGAGGAGGGCACCGCCGAGGAGCCAGACCTCGCTGTTGCACAGGAGTTGACTGAGCAGCAGAAGAAACTAGTGAAGCGCATACACGACAACATGGGGCACCCCGATCCCACCACATTCCTGAGGACGATGCGGAGTGCCAAAGCGAGCCCAGCGGTACAGAAGTTCATCAAGGAGAAGTTCACATGTGAAGCATGCAGTCCCGTCCTTTGCCGAAGCCGAGTCGTCCTGCAACAGTGGTTCGGGGATATCGTCCAGGTGTCATCGTCGGGGTCGATGTTCTGTTCATGCCGGATGTGAATGCACCGAAGTGCCGACCCCACGCCTTCCAGAACTTCCTGAAGGCCTCCGAGGCGGTCTTCTCCCGCATAGGTGTGAAAGACTTGAGAACAAAGCTGAAACTTGTTACCCACCTTGAGCAAACAGAAAAGGAGGACCACCAAGGCAATCCAGCAGAACAGGCCATAGACCAGCTTCGACAGCTCACCGGCGCCCTTCTGTCACAAGTTGAGGAGGCAACAGGGAAGCAGATCGCAACATTGTCCCCGTTGCATGGTTGGTGCTGGCGCCACGCTGGATGGCTGCAGATGCGCTATGGGCGCACGAGCGCAGCTAGCCCTTTTGAGGTGATAACCGGTAGGCCATATCTTGGAAAAATTGTCAATTTTTCTGAAGTCGTTTACGCCAGGGTTAAGTCTTCACTTAAGGGCAAGGCCAGGTGGATCAAAATGATGTGGTTAGGAAAGCTGACAGTGTCTGATTTGCATTTTGGTGTGACGCAAGGAGGTTTCTTGATTTCCAGTAGGAGTGTGCGCAGATTGCCTAAGCAGTATGATGCATCATTTCTTGAAAGTCTTCGAGACCAACCGTGGTCGCAGGCCAGCTTCCTGGCGGGGCAGAGCGGGCAAACTAGATTGCAGAAAACTCTCGAGGAGGAGTCTGATCGAACAGCCGAGAATGCACCAGCGCCCGAGGTTGTTGAGAGCGAAGGCCCGGTTAGCATGCCGTACCCAGGGCATGTTGTGCCAGACGACACGATGCTGTCCGATCTGCTTCCACCGCCATTGCTGTTGCGCACGTCCGAGCCTCCAACACCTTCCAATCCTAGTGCCGTGACACCGGCCCACATGTTGCCAAGCCTCACACCACACCCTGAGGAGTCGGCTAGTTCCCCAATGCCAATGCTTGTTGAAGAAAGTGTCGGGGATGGCGGGGCCGAACCAGAGCCCGCAGCACCGAATGCATCAGCGAGTGCGTCTCTTCCTTTAGGAGGAGCACCTTCTGCACCTGCGTCGAGCACAGGCGTTACCAGGCCAGAGCCAGAGACTGCTGGCGGGGCAGTTCCACCAGCTCGGAAGAAGCTGCGGCTTGATGCTGTTCAAGCAAGTGCATATGATGCTGAGATGTTTCATCATGATGAGCCGCCAGAGCTCTTTGATGAGGCCGCCGAGGAATTTCTTGATTGCGAGATTGAGCAGCCCCAGGCCCAGGATTGGGATGATGGTGAGCCCACTCCGGAAATCCCAGCAATCCTCATCAGGCCTGAGAGCGAGAGCGAGCCCGTTTGCAGTGCAGCAGAGCTTGAAGCTATAGATGCTGCAGCAGATGCTTTGGAACTTGCACGGTTGACAAGCATTGGGGTGCTTGAGCAGTGTGAATGCTGGCGTGAGGGCCACCGCAGCTTGTCATCAAAGTACGTCAGGAGCTGGAGACTGAAAGTGTTGAATGGTGAGAAAAAGTGGCTGCGGCGTTCGCGCCTAGTAGCTCGCGAGTTTGCACACCTTGATCCTGACCGACAACACCTTTTCGCACCAACGACCACCCAATGCATGCTGAGAATCGTGCCGGCATTGTTCATCCGCAACTTTGGTGACAACTGGGCTCTCCTGAGCCTAGATGTGTCTGATGCATTTCTTCAATGCCAGCAACAGCATGCAACCTTGACAAAGGTAGATGGGTTTTGGTATAAGTTGCACAGAATGTTGCCGGGGCAGAGAGATGGTTCGGCAACCTGGTTCGCTGATTTCATGCAAGAGGTCAAGGCGGCAGTGTCAGCTGAGCCGCTAGCAGAGCAGCCGGTGCTGTTTCGCATCCCGCGTTCGCAGCAGTCTGTGACCGGCACAAGTGCCGAAGGAGCCGGCATGATCCATGTTGACGACGTGCTAGCCGCTGGGCTGACGTGGCGTCTGGAAGCCTTGGAAAAGCACCTAAAAGGAAAGTTTAAGGTTTCTTCGGATTGGATTCGGGAGGTTGGTGATCAGGTTACTTTCTTGAAAAGGCGCCATATCCTTGTAAGCCCGATGCTTCTGTGATTGAGCCCGATGTTAAGTACCTTGACAAACTCCTTCAAGTGACTGGGCTCTCAGGAGCCAAAGAGAGATACAAAGCAGCCCCGTTTCCCACCGGAGGGTTGCCAACTGACTTGGAGTCAGACCGTGACCTCGACCCCGCAACTGCGACGAGGTACAGGTCAGCGCTAGGCATCCTCATGTACTTGAGTGCAGATCTTGTGGCATGCCAATTCGGCGTCAGGTTTCTTTCAACGCACGCCCACAAACCGACGGAGGGCTGTTGGAAGTTGCTCAGACACTTGACGACGTATGTCAATTGCCACAGGTCACATGTGATCGGGTTGAGCAAGCCTGAAGTTGGGCAAGGGCTGACAGTCAGCCACTCCAGGCCCAATGCATCCGCACTTGAAATGTTTAGCGATAGTGACTGGTCAGGAGACAAGAAGACGCGGCGTTCGGTTTCAGCTTGCTGTGTGGTTTGGGATGGCCAACTGTTACACTCTAACAGCCATACCCAGAAAGTTATCAGCTTGTCTTCATGCGAGGCCGAATATAATTCCCTCGTCGCCGGTGCTGCCACTTCGATTTTCTTGCAAAACTGCGTTGCGCATGTGTGCCCCGACCTTGAGATACTGCTGTCGTGCTTGTGTGACAACTCCTCAGCACGCTCAACAGAAAACGCAGCAGAAGCTCTTAGCAATAGGACCAGTTGGGACAATTGAGAATGTGGCGGACCTGCCTACAAAGGCGCTCAAACCGGAGAGGATCGAGTACATCCTCGGCAAACTCAACGTGCGTGACAAAGATTGCGGGTATGCCCCAGTAGGAGCGTCGCATTTGCTTGATCACCGCGCCCGGACAAATGTTTGCCGCGTTGTCAAGAGAGGGTCCGTCAATGCACAGCATATCCCTCAGATCCTTGCCATTGCTCTGCAATTAGATGCAACTGCCAGTGCCGATGCAGATGAGCCCAATACATCGTCAAACGCCTTGAGCCCGGCAGCTGGCGAAAGTGGTTACGGGTATGATTTTGCATTTTGGGATTTTCTTGAAAGGTTGCTGTGTGCGATTTTCTTGATAGGTGAGTTTCTTGCCGAGCATCCCATTGCATTCCTTGTCGTGTGCCAATGCGTTATCGTTGCGATGCTATGCAGATCCTCGTGCCGGGGATCCGAGTCCAGTAGACTTCGCACTGAGGCTGAGGCGAGCAAGGCAGGACTCACGAGTTTGAGTATCAACGTAACGGTTGAGGGATCAAGGGCTTCAATTGAAGCCAGCCCTGAGGACCATGTTTCAGACAAGAGTCTTGCGCAGCATGAGTGCCAGCCCAGCGGAGAGCGTAGCAGCGCAGCAGGCAGCAATGCAGCTAGCAGCAGTGCAGCTGCAACAAGCACCGCAAGTGCTGATGATCATGATGTTCGTGACTTGCGCGGCACAACGCGCCCTGTGCCGAAACCAATGTCAATCCCGCCAGTGCGTGAAGAGGCGAGGCAAGAGCTGAGGGACCAGCTTGTTTGGGTTACAAAGTCGCGAGGCAAGTCGTACCATGCCAGGCGAGGATGTGGAACGCTTGGAAATGCAAAGTCGCTTGAGCAGATCACCAAGTCAGAAGCCATCAGCCGAGGCTTTAAGCCATGCAAAGCTTGCTATGGGCGCTGAGACTTGAATAATGCTC